GTTGTGATTTAAAGTAACACTGTTAGTAGGTCAGAACGTAAGTGTTGTGACTTAGAAGTAACACTGTAAGTAAGTGTTGTGACTTAGAAGTAACAATGTTAGTAAGTGTTGTGACTTCGAAGTAACACTGTTAGTAAGTTGGAAAGTATGTTTTGTGACTTAGAAGTAACACTGTTAGTAAGTGTTGTGACTTAGAACTAACACTGTTAGTAAGTTGGAAGGTAAGTGTTGTGACTTAGAAGTAACGCTGTTAGTAAGTGTTGTGACTTAGAAGAAACGCTGTTAGTAAGTGTTGTTACTTAGAATTAACACTGTTAATAAGTTGGAAGGTAAGTGTTGTGACTTAGAAGTAACACTGTTAGTAGTTCGGAACGTAAGTGTTGTGACTTAGAAGTAACACCGTTAGTAGGTCGGAAATTAAGTGTTGTGACTTAGAAGTAACACTGTTAGTAAGTGTTCTGACTTAGAACAGAAAACATTACTTCTATCGATCAGGGCAGCTGTAAAAACGTCAAATCCTGCTGAATTAGTGGCTGTACGGGAATACTTGGCTACATATTTAGAAACAACACTCTGGATTATTAACTTACTGGAAATAGCATCTAGACTGGAGATAGTTATTCGTTCGTTGGTCAATAGTGGTTTTCCATCTTTGTTCCATGTAAAGGTAACTGGTAAATCACCTCTCTTGAGATAACACATGATTTGTACTCTCGAACCCAGCTCAATGTCATTAGGGAACTCAGGAGGTTGTAAAATTGGTGGTTCTGTGTAAGAAGACATAACGAACTTCTGGTAAGTGATATCCAGCTCATTGCAGACGATTCTTTGATATCTAACACACAACACGAGTAAACTTTTCAAGAACATGTAAATTAAAACTTTATCTTTCAGCTGATAGTCCCTCTATGTGTTAACTAGCTGATAGTCTGAGGACATTATCTTTAGTTGCTGTTTTATAAACATTATTAATTACATAAAATTCATTATCTCAGAGATAAGGAACTAATTATTTCTAAATTAAAAATATAACAAAATATAAATTATTTTACTGCAGGCACATAGTGTGGTAAAAACACAAATAAACCATCAGTGTCAGTTTTTATGTATCGCAGGATTCTTTACAGCAAGTGTCTGTGATGTGTTGGTGATGAATTTCAACGATAAACATACAGCACACAATTCATTTATTTTGAAATAATATATTCAAAACAAGTTAAACATATATATAAAAATGTTCATTACATAGTTACACCACAGTTGTATCCAGAGTTTTGTATAATTCTCTTTGGCGTCAAAAGTCCACACAGGCTGGTTCAGTTACTTTAGAACCTATTTGACAAGACGAATTATTCTTCTCTACTCTGTTATCACAATACAATCAAAGATAAATTAATTTACGTTATCCCATAGGTTACCACAGTTGTATCCAGAGTTTTGTATAATTCTCTTTGGCGTCAAAAGTCCACACAGGCTGGTTCAGTTACTTTAGAACCTATTTGACAAGACGAATTATTCTTCTCTACTCTGTTATCACAATACAATCAACGATAAATTAATTTACGTTATCCCATAGGTTACCACAGTTGAATCCAGAGTTTTATATGATTCTCTTTGACGTCAAAAGTCCACACAGGCTGGTTCAGTTACTTTAGAATTATTCTTCTCTACTCTGTTATTACAATAGCATCTGTGATTATTACACTTTAAAAGTCGCCACTATACAGTCATTTTGACTAAACTTACAAACACAGTCAAGATCTATTTCACTACGTTTCTCACTAACTTTGTTCTACTTTATAATACTTCATAATGGTAAGTGTTATGACTTAGAACTAACACTGTTAGTAAGTTGGAAGATAAGTCTTGTGACTTAGAACTGACACTCTTAGTAAGCTGGAAGGTAACTGTTGTGTCTTAGAACTGACATTGTTAGTAAGTTGGAATGTAAGTGTTGTGACTTAGAACTAACATTGTTAGTAACTTATCTAGAGTCCACCCAGAGACCAGTGGAACGGAGTCCTGAAAGGTTACTACGTCAGCTACAAGGTCAAGGACTCTTCAAGTAGATTCTCTTACGAGACTGTGACGAACGATGACGTCACAGACAAAGATGAAGAAGAAGTAACAATTCGTGGTTTGAACGTTGGAACAGAATACATAGTGACTGTGAAAGCTTTTAATAGTGCTGGAACCGGACCTTCGTCAGAGGAAATGACGTGTGCCACACTCCGGGGAGGTTAGTTAAATATTACATAAGATTGTATAATGTAGAGGACTTGTTTCTGTTGAAAAATAATAAATAAAAAACAAAGCATTGTTTTATCTTTTTATTTGTTTCATATTGACAGCTGCTAAACAAATTTGGTTCTGGTTCCAGATCCACCATCAGCTCCCAATGTAAGACTAGTTGGTGTGAACATTGATTCCTTGACCTTAGACTGGAGAACCCCACAGGAAGAAGGTCCTGTTCTACGTAAGTTAGTTTGAAGACATTATTTGATAGTTCTCTATAGAGTTTTTAGTTTTATAATACATATTTATGGTTAAAATTTGTAACTTTCCTTTCATTTGTTGAGATTCGTTACTTTTGTAGATTTAACTTCAGTGAAGACTTTCAGGATATCTTACTAACTATTACTGTAATATCTACATCAGCATGCTCTACCAAGTCTGTTTAAGTTGATCCAGTTTTACTGTTTAGAATACGTACTGGAGTTTAAAAAAGATGGAATGACGAAACACCAGCGCCACCTACCGGTATCTAGCAGTAGCTACAAAGTAACCCACCTGCAGGCAGGATCTCGGAATGAACTTAGACTGGCAGCTTACAACAAGTTTGGAAGAGGAAGTGCGTCGTCTCCTGTTGTAGCTTTTACTGAAGCACATGGTAAGTTTTAAATCAACAGATATACGGGTATGGACACAAGAAAAGACTTGAAGTGTTACGTGTTGTTTAGTGAATGTGGATCGTGTTATATAAAGAATATTTTCATTATTTTAGTAAACCTTTGTTTTTCTCAGTCTAAAATCTCGGTAAACTGAACCCAACAGCTGTTTCCTGCTTACAGGAGTTAAGTCAACTCAGGAAACAGAAGACGGACCATTCTATATCCGGTTATATTTCATAATTCCTGTTGCCGTTTCCGTTACTGTTATTGTTTGTGCTGTGGTTGTTGCTTGGGCTTGTCTGAAGAAGGAACACATAGTAGAAAGTAAGTAAATCAGTCGTTATGTTGTCGTATTGGTCGTTTCTTCTAACTCTTCTTGTTAGGTACGTAATTCTAGCCAGTTTATCAAGTTTACAAGACACTTGTAGATGAACTACTGAAGTATGGTCACTTGATGATGTACTAAAATGTTTTATAAAGAACAAAAACCGTTTCCCTTATCACTGTGACTTTTAATAAAGATTAAAATGATATTAATATCCGATTAATACGTACAGAAAATCAACCAATCTACGTTGCTTACGGGACCAGGTCATCCTACGGACATCCTCCAACCATGCAGGGAACACTGAAGTCACGTGACAGCAGGGCCCTTGAAAATGGATATGATATTCCATGGGACGTTCCGGGATACAGAGGAAGTGGGGTAAAGTAACTAAGAAAGTTTTCAGTTATAAGTATATATTAAATCATACATCGCACTAAGGATCAACCTAAGATCAGTGTTAGGGTTAGTTCAGTTTACTTACTAGTTTTATTCTGGAAAGAGATTTGAAACATTGATTAGGCCTAGCTCGTATAGCTGAAGCCACCACGTTGCCAAGTAAATAAAACGAATTCTGTTGCTAAGTAAGTTAATAATCCGAGTTACCTCGAGGTTAGTAAACATTAACCTCAAGATATCAAGGTTAGTAACCTTCATATCTGGACTACTGACACTCGGATAGACAGATTACTTAGCAAATCGGTTTAATAAACGGATGAAAGTTGATGATAAAGTACGTAGAATAATAAAGCTTTGTTGTTTAACAATTATTAAATCATCATATCATAAAAGACACTTCAAAGTGTTTCAGAATTAACACCGACAAAAAATATTCATAATATCCTACAGTTTATATGTTTTTAAGTTATAAAATATATTGTTTATTCATTCTAAAAGACTGGTGGATATATTAAACAGGAATAAAACAATGTTCTGGTTATTTTTAATGGTCTGTGTTCATGTATTTAAATATTCTTGCTCTGTCACGGATTTTTAATCTTCTGAAGAACTGATACTTAACTTTTTAATTTACAGTCAAGCGACGGAAACTATACGAAACTGAAGCAAGTTAACCCTAACACTTAGATGATACCTGTTAATGTTGAGTGACGTCACTGTGGACAGAAACTATTACTTCGAATATGAACTTTCCGTTTCTTACACGTGTTCATTGTCTCCGTGTAAATACATATTTACTTAGTGTTTATGTCTGCGAGTTGTTAGTAGTGTAAAATATATCACCATTTATTTGTTATTATTACTTTTAATATCTGTATCCTGTAAACTACAAGTTACAATATCTGTATCCTGTAAACTACAAGTTATAATATCTGTATCCTGTAAACTACAAGTTACAATATCTGTATCCTGTAAACTACAAGTTAT